GGGTAAAATTTTATCATCCTCGCACTATAAAAATTTATTGATAATTTTCGCATTTTACTTCTGCGTACATTTAGCTCGAATTAAGAAGTCAATAATTGAATCTAGGGCTGATTTGCGCTTGTGTGGTATGGAAATCACGAGTGAGTTGACAGTGTAGGTTTGAGAATTAAATGGGTTGGTGCCAGATTTCATATTTTGGGGAGGATCAATTCAACAAAAAATTAAGTGCACCCTTTCTTATCTATTGTCCCACTAAATTATTTCTGTGTCCCAATTCCCAAACCTACTCTTGCAATCCAGTTAGGCCAGGCGAGTGTTTGCAATTAGTAATCATAAGTTATTGCACATAGGTAGGAAATGATTTAATGGATGTGACTGAATAACAATAACCTTATGAAGATGTAAGTTCCAAATTGGTAAGGGCCAGATAACGTTGATGTTGTTAAACAGAGTTGTCCATGTACGTAGTGCGAAAAATGCTATTTTGTCGGTAGTTCGATATGTGTCGGAAAATTCATCAAAACTATTGTGCCACACTAAAACATTTAGATTACAATCAGATTACGAGTTCATTGGATTATACGTGACCCAATTCGCAAGCTATAATTAGAAGAATCATTGCAAATTTATCAATTGTGCAAACATCAATTATTGGTGAGCTATACTACACATTAAATTTTATCATGGAAAAAAAAGTGGGGCTGCTTGGAAGACTAAAAGGTAGGTCAACAACCCTTCTTCTTCTTTGGCAGCAGGAACTATAATCATGCACCAAGTCAAGAGCAACACTCTTGCTTCCTCATATTTAAAATTTATTGGTTGGTATGATATACTATTGTTATACCTTTGATTTACTTAATCATGTGTGCCTCTTGAAGTTGAATTATGCATAAGAATAATTTCAAATTTGAACAAGAGCCATATGGATATCGATTTGTAATGAGAATTCAACCTTCAATTATCTGGATTTGGTACTTGAGTAAAGTACTTATGCAATTTGGGTTATTTTCGTCGACGTTGGATTGGATCGGGAGTCAAATTAAAGCTCATTTTGGAAGATAACTAAGTGACTATATGAGTTCGTACATGAAAACAAATGGATTACAAAACTGATGCTAGTCGAGACTCAGAGACCATTATATCGTGACATGGTTAGGGATGACAAAATAACTAACCATCGTGGGTACCCAATCAAATCCGAATTGATTTTGTCCAACTGATATTTATCTTGGTGTGGGTTTCCTCCCGAATATGTTAAGGAGCTTGATGGGTAATTTGGTGTGATTTTGGTATTGTAAGTATTTGAATGTGAACCCACCCGAACATATGTTATAACTTTCTAGACTTGCTCATTTTTACACTTCGGTCGTCCATATCTCTCAAACATTATAATTATCTCTTAAACCTCAAATCTTGCTCATTTTTAGCTCAACTCCGCAGAGAAAGAAACTCCAATTAACATCAACATTCTAAGAAAATTTTGCATTATGTCAAAACCTATATATATGATTTTTCAAAGATGGTGCCGGTGAGGTTTTCCCGAATAACATATGGATAGATTTTGATATGTCACATTAAAACTCCACACAATTTTGAAAGGTTATGATTTTAAAACCTTAATTTGAGGATGGTATATAAGAAAATCGATATTACTCAAACCAAATTGTCATCCCTACATATATGGCTAGGACCAGGTAATGATAATGGGCAAGAGTTAGTGATCATGGCTAATGAAAACTAGTTGGAGATTGGGAGTCAACCCGGCAGTGTGATTTCTAGCACTTTGATTCCAATGATGGCAATACACACTGAGATTTCTCGAGATCATTATCAAGTAAACACACACACACACAAAAAAAAAAAAACACGATAAACAAAGTGTTAGCAAAATTTAAGATAAAAAAAACAAACACATGAACAGGTTTTACACTCGGGAACAAAAGAACACTTTGTACTCTTATGTCTTCTGATCATGTGCCCGTGAATGGTATCAGCGACAAATCCCCAAAGCTATAGACATGTGATTACAGATTAATTAATCATTATAGTTAATTAAGAGATTATAGGTAAGTAAGAAACACTAATCCATTCTGCTTAACCACATAAACAAATATCAGTTTGCATCACTAGCTGGCTGGCCACTAGCGTGATGGAAATTTGCCTTTTAATCATTTTTTTTTTTTTTTGTTTTCGTGGTCTGGTCCACTAGCTAGGGTTTGCAACTAACATGCACTTTTGTAGTTATCTCTCTTTTGGCTTCTGAGTTTACTGACTCTCACGAAGTCACATGGCGAAGTTGCTTAACGTTAAGCTTTCACTCACTCTCTCACTGTCAGTCAGACAGACACTCTTCCAATTCCCATTATATTCAGCACATTATCCCCCCACTGAACATCACATGTAATACAGCGCAAAACATCGATTAGTTGTGTCTTTTGTTTCTGTCGTGATCGAATCGATTTGTCCAAATAACTTGAATTTTTATAGAGAACTAAGTATGAATCTTATATACATACAACTGTTTTACACGACATCTATTGAAATCGAATACTTCATATAGGTGTCCTACCATCCTTAATGTAAGAAGATTCGCCTTAATTACTCGCCTCTCGCGCCTATGCGCCTTGAATCGGCGGGAAACCGCCTTACAGAAAGTGTGTCGTGTTGTCATTGACAAACTAACCTAAAAATATCGAACTTGCAGGCGCAGAGCAAGAAAGCTCACATATATGTTGTCAGATTACAATTATTTTCCTCAGTGTTCATGGTTATCGTTCAATACTGACTACGGGTTCTTCTGTTTCTTAAAAGTACTAATTATGTTACTCGGAATCAAAAAGTTTGTTCTGGTGATTTTGATAACATTTCGATAAGCTATTTCTTATATTTGTATTATTCCTTGTACTCCCGACCTTGTACAATTCCCTTACATACCCACAAAAAGATTAGAAGAGAGATCACTCAATACCAATACCAAGATTGGTTAATGACAAATTCATCATACACACCTATTTCTCCTAACCTTTTTTACTTCCCAAAAATCCACTGCCTAACTCATTGATTGTTCCGTCCTAATATTTCCTTCCTTATGTTTGATAATAACTCCTGCCGTCTACTAATCATCATTACATCTATAGTTTTATCTACTCTAGCTGAACTACTAATTAGGGGAAGAAAAGGATGATGAATTGCAATGCTTTACATTAACGGTGGACAGTGTGCATGTGTGTGGTTAATCATGTGTGTGGTTAATCAGGATTTGACATCCACCAGCTATAAATAACTAAAATCGAAGTGGGTGGGTAATAGATGTAGATGGATTAATCATTGCGGATAAAAAAAAAACTTTACGACACTTATATAGGTGGGTGGTGGGCATGGGTTGCGGCCCTAGCGGGTCACCCAATTGACCTGCATCCCACTTTAATATGAAAAAATTTATTTCTCGTCTACACTATCGAATAGTTTTAGTATTTTTAAACAAAACCACACATGACCATCTAAATCTAAAGGCATAATAAAAATTGAACTACTACTATTAATTACTATTGTGCAATATCAGTTAGATATTGAGATGAAAATTATAAAAATTGTTAATTGTATCAATGTCATAAAGAGCGACAATTTTCTCTACACCACGTGGTTGATTGAGTAATGAAAGATTTTATACCTCTGCTAGAAATTTGAAATCCACACATATAAAGAGTTTTGGTCTCTAGGATATATGGCTTTGATTAGGGGTGGCTATACGGTCCGGTCCGCTTAAATTGGCCCAAATTGATCCGGTCCAGTCCGGTCTTTTTGAAAATATAAGGACCAAAGATTGGATTGGATACAGTCCGGTCTTAATCCGGTCCGGTCTTGACTCGGTCCGGTCCCAATTCGGTCTTGATTTTATATTGAGTTTGTGGGGATTTGAGTGGCCTAAGGCCTGCAAGGATGAGGAGTTAGTTAAGTTTTGTACTAAGTGCAAAGGTTTGTGACCGTTTATGCAAATTACCTTGAGTTTTGGGTGTTGCGCTCTCTTATCCGGTCTTTATCCAGTTTTCGATCCGGTCCCGAACGATTTTTTACCTCAAATCTAAGCCCAAAGATTGGATTGGATTGTTTACTATCCGGTCCCGATCCGGTCTCGGTCCGGGTACGGTCCGGTTTCGAGTAAAACCAAAAAACCCGGACCAAATAGCCAGCCCTAGCTTTGATACTGAAAAGTTTGTATGAGTAGTGAAAAAAATAACATATCACAAGTACTAGATAGATCAACATGAAACAAAGTGTAAAGTGTCTCTAAATTGCTAGTATCTTCCTAACTTTTGAGGAATTTATTATAAATATTTTTCAGTTTTTCTAATGATTTTTCCGAGAATTAATTTTGAGGGTTAACCCACAATTCAACCGAATCCAACCCAAAAAAGAATATAAATGGATAGCAAATCAGCACTGTATCAACTCGTGGATAAATGGGTGGATCAATCCGAGACCAAAGTTCACCCAACCCACTCATTGTCATCGTAAAATATAAAAGACAATTTTGAGCAATGCTAATACAAGTAGCAAAACTATATGACACATGACCACATTACTTAAAAAAACACATGATCATCAGTACCATCACTTCACTCCATTTCAACTTACAAATCACCACAGCATTATTTACATAATGAAAACTCTATTTTGAAATTAGAACTAATTTATATATATATCACTAATCAAACACATAGATATTAACATTAATTATATAGCCTTTGTGTCCTTTTCTTACAATGTGGGGAGTGACAGGTTTCTCATGCTTCATGTCCCTTCCACCTCTCCCACATGACCACATTACTCCAAATAAAATAAAATAAAATAAAATAACCCGAAAATAAAATTACAAATATAAAAAAAAAGTCGCTGGCAAATCTTTTACACGACGATGACAGAGAAACGACGTCGGACCAAGGGAGACATACACATACAGTACAGAATAGAGAGTAACTAAATTTGCTATGTATCCAAACTCACCGCCGGCGGCTGAGCAGATCGTACGACGGCCGGCCCGGCGACGACCTCGGCATGTACACAATAGACTCCGACACGGCGCACGTCCGCTTACACGAAGCGTACATCCCGACGAAACCGAACCGGTCGCTAATGCTCCTTCCCACCTTCGCCCTTTCACCACCACTCAAAAGCTCCTGGTCGTCGCTAAAACTCCCGTCGCCTTTGGAGCACTCCACCAATGCCGCGAAGAACGGGTCCCTCGGGACCACGAACCGCGATGACGAGGTGGAGAACGTCGAGGCCCGCCTGACCCTGCCCGATTCCTCGAAATTGAACCTCCTTGAGGCGGCGGTTGGAGTGATGGGCGGAGGCAACGGTAGTACCTTTTGTGACGGGTTGGGATTGGAGTCGTCGCTAATGGTGACCTTTAGCGACGGGGAATCGGGTTTTTTCGGGATTCCGGGCAGTTTTTCCCAGGAGAATGGGACGCCGCCGGATGGGTAGTTGAGAGGGGTGGCGGGGAGGGAAGGGGAGTCGTCGTTTAAGGAGGAGGAGGAGGAGGACGACGAGGAGAAGGAAGGAGTGCGGCGGGATTTAGCGACGGGAAAAACGGCGTCGTAGAAGGTGGATTGCTCGGTGGGAGATGAAGAGGAGAAGGAGGAGGGAGAGGAAGAGTCCATCTTCTTGGGTTTTTTAGAGGAGGAAGAAGAAGAAGGGAAGAGGGAGGAGAAGGAGAAGAAGGAAGAGAGATTTAGTAGGCTTGTTGTTTTCTTGTGAGGAGATGGTTTTGGTGGCTTGGAATTTTGTTCTAGTAAGAGCTTCTCTTTCTCTTCTTCTCCTTCTTCTTCTTCATCTTCATGAGCTTTATCTTTGTGCATCATGGGGTCTTCTCTCTCTTTTTGGCTTTTGTTTTTTTTATTTAGTAATATTCTATTTTTTTTCTATATGTGGGTTTTGATTATGTGGGGATTTTAATATGGGGAGTAGTGGGAGAGAGGAGGAGTGGGAAAAAGAAAATTTTGGTGTTGCTTGTTGGAAGTTTCTGCTTGTTGGATTATTTTTTGGAGTTTATATATAAGAAGGGGGTTGGGTTGGTCGGGAATATTAATTATTTTTGGGCATCAATATTAATAACATGTTCAATATAATTGTTAGGAAACTTTGGCTGGGATGGTGACTAAAGGCTGAGAAAGTTGTTCATGGACAGATTTAAACCATTAGCAAGCATCTTAACTAAAGAAATCATCACACTCTTCTCGTATATTGGTACATAGATTTTGGACGTTTCTAGCGGCTCCATTCACGGTATTCGCTGTATTTAGATCAGATTGTGAGAAAAACACCCGAGTTAATGTAAGTATCACATATAGACACACTTTCAGCGTCATAATTTCTATGTATGTCGCTAGAATGAACATCGTAGAACATAAATTAATAATTTTACAGGACAATATTCACTGTAGATGGAGATAATTACTCTAAATTTGGCCAAAAGGGCGCTGCTGCAGATCAATACCAAAATTTATAATGGGTTTTTTGGAATCGATCTTTATATTTGACAACTGATAAAGGAGGATATCCGGTCCATTAGACATTGAAAAGCAAAACTCGTAAGTAAAACCAAAAGTTCTTTAGCTGAATTGATGGAGCTCTTCAAGTTACATATACAATCTCAAATCGACTCGAAAATTAGAGTTCAGAAAAATTGATCTTAAAACTTAATGAGATTCATTGGATGTTGGTGTTTGAGTAAAATAATTTTGGAGTGGATCACCTCCGTGAATCACCTCACCCACCAAAGTACATAATTTATGTTTTGGTTGGCAAGTGCAATTTTAGGTCTACGGGACGTTGTTGATTATTTATAGGTTGTGTACACTTACTACCAAGTGATAAGAGAGAACCTAAATCCAAGCTACTTATTATTCGGATTATTGATTCTGGGTTTAAGAGTACATTAATTTACTGACTCAACTTAATTAAGAAAGGGTTGATGGATTATTCAAAGAAAACGCAGAAACTGCACACCTACAAAAATCATAATTAATTACATAAAAAACTGGATACCAAGAAGTTAGTGAGATTCTTTTTATAATTACCTACATGTTTGTACACGTAACGTTTATGTATATGTCTATAAAAGGCAACAGAAAAATACGAACAAATTGATTAAAATCTCAATAAAAAGAGATATGGCGCCGTTGACAGACAAATTGACCCTACAACATTAGTGCTCAATGGTAGGGAAAAGAGAAAATGACCTTCTAAAAGCACAAACAAAAACGTACAAATTGTCTGGCTAAAAAAAAATTACTCATGTTGTGTTAGGAAGTGCATCCTAGAGTGATCCGAATACGAGTAAGATTCTTATAAATTTATCTCTAACTAATGCCAACTCTAATAAATTTTCCGTGCTATATACTTTCTGAAATCCCATCTATCAAAAAAATTTGAATTTAGAAAATAATGGTATAACATTCTCATTAACTTTTGCTTCAAATGACCATCCACCTTTGAATTCAATTTTTGATGAATTGAAATCAGAAAATGATGGACGACGAAAACATCCGTGTGTATATATATATATATATATATATATATATATATATATATATTAATTAATTAATAGTGTGCATTTATGACCCTATCCTTTTTCTGTATCGTTCCAATTTTACCGGATGTCCACCAAAAGGACTTCACCACCGAACAGGGCAACGGGACGTTAGGCAAATAGGAAGCTAGGTAGAGACATTTATCCACTCCACATCACTGGAATTATTATTATTTTTTTGTGTGGGAAATTGTTTCTCATAAATTCACAGTCTTAATTAATTACAATTCTAGATAGCTCCTTTCCTCCTGTTAATAATAATAATAATTTGATTTCACCACCTAGCTAGCTACATTCATTAATTTCCACCAAATTTTGTTTTTGATGTTATTGCGCCGGGACCCGGCTATGCCCTTTAATTTCTATTCCTTTCACGGCCTGCTCGATCTCCTGCTGTTTATATCTTTTTGTTAGCTTGATTATATTAAATCATCACTCAAATTTTCACCTATCTATTTTGGTTATTTACGTGTTTGGTTTTTAAGATAGAGATGATATCAAACTAGGGTGGATGCTATATATCAAAGTGGAATTTCTACCTCAACATTGATTCGCGTTAGTAATGAAAAATAATATTGGTCAAATTTTAATCGAGATTGAGTTGTTCTTCTATAAGGATCGATCGGTCCTCGAATTATAGCCGAAATGATGGTGTTTTCAGTGGTCTAATCACGTTCATCCTCACAACAACAATATCAATAGTGAATTACTTACGCGTGCACTTCTTTTCTTGTCCTATCGTTAATGGTGTAATTAATGATTGCTTACTGGCTTTCACTCGTTTTCATCCTAATAAGTAATAAAATGCCCATATATAATACTTGTCAAACATTGGCATTAAATATGTTAGAAAAAGGCGTTTAATAATCACCTTCATAGAGACACCTCTAATAATATACATTCGTAATATTGGTAAATATCAAAGTTTATACACGAATAAAGATTTGGTCTAACGATACTACCACTAGAATTGGATATGAAAATCTGAAATTCAAATTCGTTAAGTATCAAAACAAACAAAGACTTGATCTAGTAATACCACTACTAGTACCTTAATATAAAAAATATAAATCTAGTCATACTACACTGTTATTATTGTTATTATTATTATTATTATTATTATTATTATTATTATTATTGTTGTTGTTGTTATTACATGACGAGTGTTAAGAGTGTAACCTGATTTCCAATTTCTCTCCAAACAATCGTGGAATATATGTCTGGAATTTATCATGATCGAGTACAATATTCCGCATGTAGCCAATGGCGTCAGCCTCTTAATTAGCAAAAATCTATAGCTTTAGAATTCCATGAACTGACCACCTAATTATAGGCTAATATCTCATAATTCAATAGTGGTAATCAATCTCAGTCAGCGTTAGTCGTCCTACGTTGTTGTTGTTAGTCTAGTCTAATCTAGTTTAGCAGCCGAGTTTAGTGGGTTTGATTAACATTATATCATGCATGCATGAATCAATTAATTGGTAGTCTAGTGGTTAATTCATTAAGTACATATATTTAATCTCTTCTGACCGGCCGTCCAGCCGGCCGTCAGCTTCTTCACGAGAAGTTTCTTTCCAACCAGCAGACATCGTACAACGTGGAGCCAAACTTTTCCAACCTACGTACAGAGATATGGCGTTTTCGAGCCAAAAGTTTGAAGGAGAAGCTAAGTTAGCTTAATTAGTTGATAAATGTGACAACTCACGTTTGACGTTACTATGGTAACGTAAGTTAATAGACGAAAACTTCGTTATGGTATACCAAACGAGCTAGCTAGGCTTCTTGATTAAGGGAAGGGAGAAGACAGAAATTAATGTTCTTTCATGGAAGGAAAAAGGATCTTATCCTTTGTGATTGGTTGTCTATTAAACACATAATTAATGTTGACAATAAAATAAAAAACACTCGGTGAATTACGAAGTTTATGCTGTTCAGTATGGGTGGGCATTGGGTGGGTCGGGTGGATTTTGACCATAAAATGCATCCACCCGCGCTTAAACGGATTGGTAATTTTTAACCCACCACCCACCCACATTTAGTCTCGAGTTGGGTCGGGCGGATGGTGGATGATGCGGGTGGGTTTGTGGGTTCACCCACATCACAATGTATATAATATAAAAGGAGTCAACTTGACATGATAATAGGTGAAGAGAATCATCAAGGAAAACAAGAAGTTGAAATAGGGCGAAAAATGTCGAATTAGCTCTTAAATTGGATAGAAATTCTATTATGAAAGAGTTTTCTACAGATTGAGACGATTATTAGGTGCAAGGAACTAAGGAAAATAATTCCACAAAGGAAAGAGCGGTGATCTAGGCACAAGAACTAGAGGAAAAAAGTAAAGGGAAGAAGAAGGGATCTCTATTTGGAAGGTTGGCTTTGAGGTTCAAAGTCCAGGAGCAGTCCGAGTTTATATCTAACGTCTCCACTCTCCTCTCTCTAGCGCCAACGACTTTGATCTTTTTGTTGTTGGGTTGAGCGGGTCACCCGCACACTCACCCACAACCGACCCACCACCCGACGGATGGCTCCCCGCGCAACCCGTCACCCACCGCAGACCCACCCACTTAACGAAATTCGGGTCAAATGCGGGTGGGTCGGCCCAAACCCGCGGATGATCCGCTCGCATGCCCAGCCCTACTATTCAGAGTAGATGATGTTAATTTGCGGATCGTACTATTAAAATCGTGATTGAACTGTAGCCCAACTGTTTCATACGGCTAAAATCATCTATAAATTTGAGATCCAATATCTAATTTGACCAAATGATAGAATACGATTTCTAAAACATTGTCCCAAACGATGAAGCTAGTAGGCTCCTTAATTAAGAGAGTTTTTATAATGTTATTTTCCAAACAATTTATTGTGGATCCATAAATTTGAAACCAAAACTATGACAGGCCCAAAAGAGAAACTATGCCAGAGGTTGGGCCTTCAGAGCTACATAAGATGCCCACTTCCTCACATTGATGTTCAGCCTGTTTCTCAGTTTTAGCAATGGCCCCTAATGGGCCTTCTACGTTTTTGTGGTTGAAGGTCATAGAGAGTGGCCCATCTAATATGAAC